CTCCAAATAAGGGAAATTTCTTTTATTTGGGGAAATCACTGGTGGTATAGTCTCAGCGACACTTTGCGCATAAAACACAACCAGTAAGTAAATACAAAAATTATTATCAAATAAATGCACTAACCTACATCCCACACAAGGCGTCTTTTATCAGGGGAAAGCAAAATGTTGCCTGCTGATGGACCTGCAGAATCCAATCTTACAACAGGACCTCTAAATGACACAGAAGGCACTTACAGTAAATTATACAACAAGCCTAGTATGGCACTAGGAACTGAGGAAAGGGGCATATTGAGAAAATCGGAGTGGGGTGAAAGGCATCCTTCTGGAAACCCTTACACTATTTCGGGAAAAAAAAATCATTTTGAGTAACCACCCTCCTCAATTCAATGTCAAAAAAGTTTTTGCCTTCTTAAAAGAAAAGCAAGACCTTTCTAAGTATTATCTTTCTAAGTCATCAGGGAGCAGAACTGAGGCAGAGAGTAACTAACCTGTGAAAGAAGGGAAGATGAACTTCACAATAATCAAATGAATTCTTGACTTTGTTGCTGAGTCTCAACTGGACTGAGATCTGCACAGAATTTGCATCACCCTAAAGCAAGATCATTGCAGAATTTGTGTTCAACACATGCCAGTTCCACATCAAAGTCAAAAATACAATAACTGTCTGATACATCTACTGCTTCAAGCATACATTGGCTATTATCAGCTCACATCCTATACAAGTCAGATTCATTGTAAATGGTGCTAACATAGAAAAAAAAAACATGAAAAATTGTTAAAATCTTACTGTTACAACAAGGATAAACCTACTGTTATATACAAATTTATTTCCTTCCAGCACAGTTAAACAGCTCATGTACCATAACAGGGGTTTCATTAAGAGCCGGGCACCAGCCAAATTGACCAGTTGTAAGGACGGTTTTGCCCACCTGGTTCAAAAAGTTTTGCCCGCTTGTGAAAACCAGTTGCCCTCCTGCTGAAAAAATTAATGAAACCCCTGCATAATGGCTGACCCATTGGAAACTCTTCAATGGCATAATGTAATCATATAAAAAAACTAGGCTAGGCTACTCTCAGTTAGTGGAAAGTAGCAAAGAAGCAGGTGCATAAGTGAGGGGGAGGGGGGCGAAGGAGGGCATTTGTTACTCATCTCCTCTTTCACTTGTCTCCTGTACATGTGGCTGAGAGCCTGTACAACACGAGACTGTACACCATACCTGCATCTGGTATATCCCTTGAACTGGAAGGCCATGAGGAGTCTTAGCAGAGTAGTGACACAGAGGAAATGATTCTGTCGGAGGCCTGAATCTCACTTTCCTACCAACCAACTCAGGCCCTTTGAGCATCTGGGATGGTTGGAAGGAGGGGATCTGGACATGAGTATCTCCCTCAAGCACACAGGGGTGGACCACAAGAAAATCCAGAGTGGAGGAGGTGATGTTCAGTGTGATTTCTGGGATCCCCTCCAGGTCCGCCTGGTAAGAAAGAATCATCAAACAATGGCCTTAACATAGGCTTTAAAACACTTTGCCCAAAGAAGTAAAAGTTTATTCATCAATTAGACACTGAGTGCAGTTGTTGGCTGCATGGTCACATGGTCACATGGTCACTTTAAGGTTGAATTCTCATCTTTATTGAGCAATAATAATACAATTAAGCAATCATTCTTGAACTTTCTCTTAGGCGATCACACACTGAAATTAAATAATCAAACGCAGTCTATATTACTTACTAATATGTAAGGAAGGTTAAAGCACTTATAACAAAGACAACATTTTGATTCACTACCTAATTACAATGTTAAGTATCAATGCCTCTTACAAAAGTCTCGCTACGTATCATCCAGTCATGGATGTGTACATGTCTGGAACACAAACACAAACACACACACACACACACACACACTTACATATATGCATACTTTATTTAAGGTATCAAAGAATATCCAACACAAATAGTACCCTAAAAAGGAAGTTTCTCAAACACAACTGGGAGCCATGCCAAGCCAACCATGCAACCCGACCTTGAAACGCCATGTGACCTGGAGACCCCCCACATACTTGAACCCATTCTCCCAGCTGCGTGTGAGAAAAACGTTTTCCACTTCTTTCGTCCCTCAGCCAGTGGAAAACCACACTTAAGTGGTTAACCCTAGTATGTAAATAAACTTCCAAAGAAATAAAATTTAAAAATGTCTGCTTATAACAAAATCTAAGATGGATAAAAACCTAAAAAATGAGCATGTATAATTTAAGAGCTGTTTTGAAACGTGTTAAGTTACCTATCTCAACAACATTGGCGAGCAGGTCATTCCATTCACGAATGATTTTAACAAAAAAAGAGCATTTATAACAATTACATTTTGCCAATAGACAATATTCGTATTCCCTGACGGTCCTGGGACAAGTAAGCACTTGCGCGTGAATGCGAGGCTAATGCGGGGAAAAGTTGCTGCAAAGAACAAGAGAGTTTTGGCCAGTTTGGCAGAAATGGAAGTAAATTTTTAAAACTGGAAGGTTCCAGAGCTTAAAAAATACCTGCAGGCTTGAGGAATATCTGTCTCCAACTAAAAGAAGGAAGAATTAGTAGAACTGAAGAAAAAAGCTCACCAACTCACTGTCGAATTTACAGTCGACGTTGACCGTGAGTCCATAAGTGATGTTGTGTATGCGAAGTTGGTTACAAGAGATGGTTCAATCCCAAATCCAGAAATCCAGATGGTTTCTAACCTTCGATTGGTCAGGCTTAGTTGTCTTCTGAATTCTGTTTGTCGTGGAAGCATTCTTCAAACGTTTCGTCTCCGCATCCTGGCATTGTTTCCCTTTTTTTCGTTGGAGATGTTTAGGAAAATGAAATATCGTAGGAACAGGGTTTGCCTTGGTTGGCCCTAACCCTCCTAAAAAGAGTTCAGAGCATATACAAGTATGCCTTGTGACATTTAGGCTTTCCATCTGGCATGCTGCGATCCACCTTCGACATCTTTCCTGTTCACTTATCCCAGTAGCGTACTGTTTTTTTTTCGTCATTTGTTGGCAACAGTGGAAAGTAACATTTGCAACTTTGGGGGATTTAATTGGTTTCTTTTCTTAGCCTGGCTGTTGGTAGAGTTGTAGGCATAACAATGATGTTTCGGCATTTTTACGCGAAATCGAACAAATCACTACATAAAGACTAGAATTCTTTTCAACTTTTCCCCTCATCAGCCTCGCATTCATGCTCAGGGCCTACTTGTTCCAGGACTGTAGGGGAATACAAATGTTGTCTATTTAACCTGCAGTTTGTAATTGTG